GGGAAAGCTTTTGTTTGTCTAGGTGAAAGCCTAGATATTTTTGTTTTTTCCCATCTCTCCCCTGTTCTCTTTAAACTCAGGTTCTGACTCAGATTGATTTCTGATATAGCCGAGCATGCAAGGGAGAACTAGGGGCGTGGGTCAGAGAGAGCCTGAAATCAACATGAAGAACAGGATGAGGATGTTCACTCACTTCCAGGCCTGGAGGCTGGAAGTTGCAGGCTTAGGCTGAGGCTGGATTGACAAATTGGCCCCCTGGATAATTCCTCCCACCTCTCCTACTGGAGAATTCTTATAATAGAAAGGTGATGACGTCAGAAGATCGTTTCAAAGTGATTCATCATTTCTCAGCCAGAATTGGAAGCAACAAATGTTATGGTGTGTGGGGGCGGGGGGAGTTGTGGGGGTGTGGGTGTGAGTGTGTGTGAAAGAGAAAGAAAGACAGTGACAGAGAATGTGAGCTAATACCTACAAATAGGAAACAGCTTTTAGGATTTTTAAAAAAAATTTAGACAGAAATTTCTAGATTCCTGTGGGTAATTATAGCTATCTAAAATGGAATCTTTCCATACACTTCCAGAAATCACACAGATCAGTAAGGTGAGCAAATTACACCATATAACTCAGTCTGGATGGAGATACAGATGAGTTTCTCAACACATAAGAAGTGCTCAGTGTGTTGAATTAATTAACTAAGGGATATATGAGTAAGTGGCACCACTACACAGGAAATGAACCTACTGAGGATAATTTACTTGCTAGATGACAAACCCATATTTCAAACAATTCTAACATGCTGTCCTTATGGTCCAACATTAACAGGACAGAATATAATTGGGATCCAAATTAAGGACATAAATCTAGGGTCAGATAATTTTGACATGCAACAGAGGAAAGAGACCTGACCAAAGCATGCTGCAGAACAAGTTTTCGACTTTTAGTCTCAAGCTCTTTGCATTGTTAATATTGAGGATCCTGGGGATCCTAGTTTTTTGGGGTTTTTTTTCCTTTTGCTCACTGATAGGGATTAAACTCAGGACCTTGTACTTGCTAGGCAGTCCATCACTTGAGTCACACACCCCCAGTCTGAAAGTTTTTGTTTATATTGGTTACATATATTTATTATTTTAGAAGTTAAAACAGAACCTTTTTGTTAGTTCATTTTAAAATCAGCATAAATCTATTATATATTAAAGTATTTTATGAAAAATAGCTATTTTCTAAAAACTAAGGGAGAAGAGTGGTGTCCCTTTCTATTTCCATCTCTTAAACCTTTTTAAGACTAATGCTTCTACATTCAATCTGCTTCAATATGGCATCTCAGTTGAAATATATGAAGAAAATCCAGCCTCATACAGATGTATTAGGGAAATGGAGGAATTTTTTTTATTACTTTTTCAGATGTTCTTCTCTTTAGACAGTCTTATTTTGTAGACCAGGCTGGCCTTGAACTTGTGATCCTCCTGCTTCAGCCTCTCATATGTCAAATAGTCTCGATAGTATACCAAAACTTGATAAGTGGTACTGTCTTAAAAATTGGTTACATCATGAAAATTGCAACTATACTGAACTCTTTGTAATTTGTTCTATTTAAATCCATCAGCCTGTGACAGAGGCTCAATTCTTATCATTGGCAACAGGTTCTGTCAGTTGTTTTCCTTGAAAGTGACAGGCTTACCTCAGTTTTGAGAAGTTGTCTGCCAAATAACTAAATCTGAATGGCCAGTTTGTCAGTCATTGTCTCAACAAAAACTGGTGCTCCACGATTAAAGTCAGGAATTTAGCTCTCGTCTCAGTCAGCAGTGTTTTTCCCACCACATATGCAGCACCAGGGCTTCTGAAGGGCTCCTCCCTACGGCAAGCCTGCCACTGTCCCCCTACCATTGCAAATGGGGGGTTTGGTTTGCTCTGGCTGCTCATGTTAATCCCCAACCAGGAAGAACAGATGGACAGAGGGACCGGGTCATTTCAGGAGCCTGGAAGGAAGTCCGGGCTTCAGCTCTTGATAACCTTTGCTTTGAGGGAAATCCTCTTACACTGGGGAAGTGTGTGGGTTGCACGAGGGCCTGCACGTTGAGCCAGGAGGTCAGCACCCACCTCTAAACCAGTTACCAAACACTTGTGATCATCACAAGTCCCCCAGAAATCATCACCGTCCCCTGCTGCCTCATCACTAGGAAGTACCAAAAAGCAAAACAAAAATCAACAAAAGAGTTGGTTTGCCTGGCATTGTAGTTCTTTTGTTCTTTCATTCAGCAAATGTTATAACTCACCACCTGGGCAGCAGACATACAACAGGACAGAGAATCTTTAATGACTACTATGTGGATCCTGATCCCAAGGGGTTCACACTCTGGGGGGAGACAATTACGCAAATTGGTGACTAGACCATCTCTGCGGAGCAGGTCCAAATTCCTCAGTGAGGCCTGCAAGGTGAGGCTCTGTGCGATCTGGTCTTGGGGCCTGTTCCAGCCCCACCCAACCCCATCCCTATTCTATCTGCCTATCACATGTCTCAGCACACTCAGCAGCGTGCCAGCCCCAGAACAGATGGTGCTGTTTCCTGCCTTGTTCAAAGCACTCCTCTGCCTGGATTACCCCTCTGCCCCCAGCCTTGCCCCTAAGCTGGCAAAGACCACCTGTGTTCCCTTTTCTAACAGCAGGTTTACAGCTGGAAGAAGAGAAGCCTAAACCTTAATAAATTTCTGAAATTTTATTTTTACCTGAGACTGAACATTTTACTTTATGAATTGAGACTACTTTGTGACTTAAAAGTAACCACAGCTTTTGAGTTATCCAAAGATTGAGCAGGAAAAAAATTAAAGTCTGTTCCAGTTTTCATCCAAGGACAGGGAAAACCAAAACCTTCAGAAAAAAAATTTAAAGGAATAGAGAGAGAAAAGTAAGTAACGTACTACAAAGCCACATTTGCTCAGCCTTCCAAATACCCTTCAACTGTGGTTCCTTCCTTTCTGGAGAAAGGGCTGTGCAGAGAATAAGGGCTCACTTAAGATGTGACAAGGAGGCAGAAAGTGAAACCATGTGGAAGAGCTAGGTTCTGTCAAGGGGGTGTGAGCTGCTGGCAAGACCCAAGAACCAGCCTCCAGACGTGCCAGGTCTTTCAAAAGGGCCCATAGTCCTTTTAATGGCAGCTGCCTTTCATTGCACAGATGTATCTAGAAACTTTCTAATACAAATGCATCCCAGAAAGGCAATGTGACCACAAGTAAGCATCAGCCAAGGTGAGAACAACAGAGAACAGAACCATTCCTGCTATCACTGTGCTCATACAGTGGACATTAGGGGAAAGAAGAGGGACCCATTTAAAATGCAGGGTTGTGACCAGATAAACCAAAGGAAAGAGGTCACATGGCTGATGGTTTATCTGTGTGTACTACCTTAATCTCAACACCCCCACTGGATGTGCATCTTATCATAGTGAGAAAAGTCAGTTTGACAGGTTAACAAATGTGCTCCAAGTCACATCACTACTGAGAGACAAAGCTGGGATTTAAATGCAAGTCTGTTTGGCTCCAGAGACCACCTGGGCAGGCCCCTGGGTCAATAAACCTTCAACTCCTTCTTCCATATGCTTCAACTGTAAACCTTCACTGGACCTATTTCAGAGCTGTGGACAGGGGCAATTTAAGAGCCACTGATACATACTCTCTGTGCAGGGTGAGAGTCTGAAGGCAGAGCTTGAGAAGGCTGCTACCAAGGACAGGAGAGCCTCTCCCAGGCTTCACACAGTACCCTCCTGTGTGTATCCTGCCACCCTACATCTGGGGCCTCCATCTGCACCTCCTGGGTACATGTGCCCTGTGGCCAGGCTCTCTGCCCTCTCTGATGGATCCCATGGATTCAAAAGGGCTGAACAGCAGAGCTGGGGATAGGGGGTTGGCTCAGCTTTGGTCTTGACCTGGAGCCCTTCAGTCTGTGGCCCTCACTGAATGGAATAAATCTGGCCTCAGCCACTGTTGTCCAGCACCTGGTCACGTCCTAGAAGGATGATCTCTCCTGGAAAGCGGGTGCCTCGGTGCTTAGTATGATAGTACTTAGGGAATATCAGTCAAGAAGAGACGAGAGTTTCACAAATTGGTACATTTACTCCATTATTTGTTAATCAGTTTTGTTTGTACATATAGATGTCACTTTAAGTCACATAATTGCAAGGACACAACACGTGCTAGCACATCCTACTGACTAAGTACCCCTGGGGAATGTACAAGTTCTAGTGTGACTTCCCTTTATTCTCTGGCTGCACAACCAGCTCTGGCCATTTCTCCAGGAACCTGCTCTCCTTCCTTCTTTCTCATCCTTCCATGACCAGGCCAATGAGGACCCCTGGTTCACTGGAGCCTAGATGTACAGGTGTCTACTGGGGCTGATTTGCTTTCTTCCTCCTTTCATGTAGTATGCATTTCAACCCCTCAAGGACACCGTAAGCTCCCTGACTGTAAGGACCAGGGCTTCTACTTCCCTAGCATGGAGGGACAGGGTCAGGAGGAGCAGTTCCTTGGGGACTGCCGGGTATGGCACAGCTGTGAGAGGCTGGGGTTCCAAGCTGGGACAGGATGAGCTCACAAAGCCACACTGAGGCCTGGCGTGGTACGCACTCAAGCAGAGATGTGCGGAGCACTGTGGCAGCCGGGAGAGGGGCAGCCTAGGATACCTCGCTGTACCATTCCTGGGTTTCACATCCCGTTGTCAGGTACTTCAGCTTCATCTTGATTCGCACCAAGGAAGAAACTGAGCTCACAGGAAGAACCTGAGAGGAGGTGCTGGCTGGGTTTCAAATCCAAATCTGTCTGCTTCTAAAGCCCATTCTCTTTCCTCTGTACACGTGGCCACCTGCTCTGGGGACATCTTCTCTGGGGCTCAGTGTATGGTAAAGAGACCTCCAGAATAAATGAATCACCTTTAAAGCAAAGTAAAAAAACAAAAAAACAAAAATGAAAAACACACAGAAAAAACAAAAAAACACCACATTCTCCCCAAATTTCACATCATTCCTGGCTGGAATAGCAAACATAAAGGATGCTGGAAACATGACGGTGGCAAGAAGAGCTGTCTAAGAAAATGTCAGCTTCTCCCTCTGAAGTCTTGTTCTCTCAGCCAACAAGGTCAAAGAATATTCCAGAACTTCTGATGATGATTAGTTCCAGAAGGAGAGAAGCTTCTCAACTTCAAATGTCCTTAGCACAGCTTCACTTCGGGCTCTGGAATCTCAGTGCTGTTTTTTATACTGCAAGACAGATGAGAAGTGGTGAGAAAAGCCAATGGGGAGGGAGAACTAGGAGATCCTGCACCCTGGTCACATAGGCCTCCCCTACCCTTACTTCCTCAGGGCTTCTCAGAATGGGAGACACTGGATGGCCACATCTCTAGTTCACACTGAGACCCTCTTTCTCCTTTAATGGAAAAGAAAGCTTGCTGGGTGCCAGTGGCTCAAGCCTATAACCCTAGCTACTCAGGAGGCAAACATTAGGAGGATCACAGTTTGAAGCCAGCCCAGGCAAACGGTGTGCGAGACCCTATCTCAAAAACACCTAACACAAAAAAGGACTAGCAGAGTGGCTCAAGTGGTAGAGTACTTGCCTAGCAAGCATGAGGCCCTGAGTTCAAGCCCCAGCGGAAGAGAGGGAGGGAGGGAGGCAAGAAGGAAGTTGATAAGGCTGGAGGGAGGATAATAAAGAAACTGAGTTCATTAGACTTGAACATTGTGCTCACTCATACTTCTCTTTGAGCCAACTCATATTTGGGGGGGGGGGGAGAAGAAATTCTCAGGCAGAAGAGGACCCTCAGCCAGTTCCTGAGGGTTTTTGGTTTGGTTTGGTTATGTTTTTGTTTTTGTTTTGTTTTGTTTTGTTTTTGGTACCAGGGATGTATCTCAGGGCCCTGCACATGCTAGACAAGCTTACCACTGACCCACATCCCCAGCCAAATCACTGAGTTTTAAAAAATGAATCTTGAATACCATATCCACAGATTCTGATTTAGAACAGAGCTGGGGGCACATGACCTCTAGGTCACTCTAATGCCAGCTGCATTCCTGACTCACTGCCTTCCTCCACCCATACAGATCTGGAATGTTTTCTCAGTAACCCTGCCCCAGTGCAAACATCCCCAGGTAGGGAGTCACCCCCAAGACAGCTCCCAAAGGGAGCTGTGGCAATGCTGCTGCCAGCTCTTGGCACTATGCTTTGGAGAAGGCTGTTTCCGCCTTCTTCCTGACCTTCCTCAGCTCATTCAGCACTTCTAGGCAGAAATTTGCCTTTAAGGATTAAGGACCACCCCCCCCCTTATCCCACCTCACAGAAAATAAAAGCAACAAAAAGGGATCACCTTCCTGCTTTGGAGAGTATGTGACCAGCGGGTACCGCCTGAGCACTGGCTGTTCTCAACTGTGGACCGCAGGTGCCTCCTAGTGGTCATAGAGATTACAGCATCCCAGCCCCTCCTCACAGGTGGAGGCTGGAGCCAAGCACTTACTTTGTTCACGATCCAGTCAGCATCTTCAATGGCTCTCTTAATAATCTGTTGGATTCTCTCCGGGTTGTCTTCATCTGAATGAACCCGGAAATTCTGGAAGTTTCAGCATAAAGAAATAGGACTAGGCAAAAATCGGAAGGCTGACAGCTTCTGGACACAGTCCTAGCCCAGAAAGACTGCTGGACACCTCGTACTCAGCACCTCTTAACCCTCCATGGTTCCATTACCCCACTTAAGAGATGAGGAAACAGAAGCTCTGAGGTTCTAACTTGCTTCTAGGCAACAACATTTGAATCCTAATCTATTTAACTGCAAAACTGGTAATCCAGCCAGCAGGGCAGATGAAAAGGAAGTCAGTCCCCTGGCCCAAAGGTTATTAGGCAGGTGGTTAGGGCCAAAGGGAAACTTCAATCTCTCTGTTTAATTTGCTCCTCACAGGAAGTTGCTTTCATCTGAGTGAGATCTCTGCATGGCTCTGCCACAGGAAGGGGCCTTCTCTCCACCCAGTGCAGGAAAGCTAAGCAGGGAAGGGAGGGGAGGCATGCAGGGGGAGGGTCTGGAAGTCCAGCTGGGCCTGATGCGGAGCACATGCTGCTGTTAGCTTCTGACCAACAGTCTGAGATTTGGGATCACTGGCATGGTGCTCAGGACGCTTCAGATAGAACTGGCCCTCCCTCCCATCACTCCCAACACCACACACACCCTATTCACCTTCAGGAGCCACCTCAAATGCCCACTTCCGGTGAGCCCTTCCTGACTCCCCAGACGGAACTATTTCCTTCTCTGTGTTCCCACAACTTTCAGTTGCTACCTCTATTTTTTTTTTAACTTTCCATATGATATCTGTAAGAATTGCAGTTTTTAACTTTATTTGGAAATTATTTCCTACAGAGCGATTTTAAGAAAAGTATAAAAAAATGACTGAGAATGTAGCTCAGTGGTAGAGCATTTGCCTAGCATGAGCAAGGCCTTGGATCAATCTCCAGCCCTGCAATATATATAATGTATTTAGGCAGGTGTGGTGGTACATGCCTGTAATCCCAGCATTCATGGGGGCAGAGGTAAGAGGATCCCAAGTTCAAGGCCAACTTGGGCTACATAGTGAGGCCATGTCTCAAAAAAAAAAAAAAAATGTACAAAAAATACCTTACCAGAATTACCAATTGTTAACTTTTTTGCCATATTAATTTTATCATTCTCTCTTTATATGTGTATGTAGAAAGTTCCTCTGGAAGCATTTCAGAGTCAGCTGCAGACATCAGGCCCTTAATCCCTAAAAACCTCAATTTTAACTTCCTAACAAGGGCATTCTTTCATATAACCAAATTCAGAAACATTAACCTTGATACAATACAGCCAATATTCTAATTTCATGCACTGCACCAATAATGTCCCTTACAGCAATTTTTTCCTGGTCAGCAATTTTTTCCCGGACCCAACCTGGAATTATGCTTTACATTTAGTTGTCACATCTCTCTCCTTATTTTTTGGTTTTTTTCTTTTTTTTTTTCCTGGTGGTTCTGAGGTTTGAACTCAGGGCCTCACATTTGCTAGGCAGGCGTTCTAACACTTAAGCCATTCTGCCAGCCCTATTTTGTGTTGGGTTTTTTTTTGAGATAGGGTCTCATGAACTATTTGCCCAGGCTGGCTTCAAACCATGATCCTCCTGATCTCTGCCTTCTGAGTAGCTAGGATTACAGGCGTGAGCTACATCTCTTTAAGTCCCCTTTAATGCAGAAGAGCTCTTTCTTTGTGTTTCATGAAACTAACTCTTTTTTCCCAGTTTTTTAAGAGAAGGATTAACTATGCAACCCAGGCAAGCTTCAAACTCATGATCCTCCTGCCTCAGTCTCCCAAGTGCTGGGATCACAAGCATGTGCCACCACATCCAGCAAAACAAGACACTTATATTGTGTAGTAGATGGTTCCTCAGTTTGAGTTTACCTGGTGTTTTCTCATGATGAAATTCAGGTCGTGCACTGTTGGCACAATGGCAAGTGTCCACTGAACTGCCTCGTCCATGCCCTGGCACAGTGTTGGCACGCCACATGATCACCCTCTGCCTTCCAGACAGAAGCCAGAGAGATGGGCTGCCCAGCACTGGTTCCCACCAAAGTGCCAGCTCCACTCCCACCTGCAGGCCCCATTAGAGGAAGCCTCCAGCCCCAGCTCTCACCTGCCTGACAGCATGTTTGTAGTGTTCCTGGATGTCCTTGGTCGGCAGCTGTCGGCAACAGCGTAGCAGGTATCGGTAGAGCTGCAGAGGCCTATGGACCAGCTCTGCCCCCGGTAGTGGGGCCATCCACGAGCCCCGCTGTCCTGGAAAACACAGAGCATCCTTTCTCAGACATTGGGTCAAGTTCTATACTGCTCCCAGCCCAATACAGCACAGAGACCAGGTCCCCTTGTGGTCCACCCTGGGCTGGGATTGGGCACTCAGCCTGCCAAAGTCTCAGCCCAGAGCAGGTCCTCAAGCATCCAGGTGAGTGTAGGGAGAGATGGTGGGTGAGGAGATGGCACCAACAGCAGAATAGAGAGGGAAAAGTAGAAAGACCATGAGTGGCAAAGAGCAATCAGGTCTGACAATTGCTAGGCACATCGTAGTGAGGGCAAGAGAGGGTAGAAAGCCCAGAGGTCTAACCCTGACTACCCTAAGTGTAGCCCTGGACCAACAGCCTCAGCATGATTGAGAAGCTTGTTGGAGACTCTCAAGTCCCGGCCAGACCCCCCTAAACAGATGTTGATAAGATGCCAACAGATTGGGATGCTTGTTGGAGTTTGAGAAGCATGATTCTAGAGCCTCTGCATGAAGAACCAGCTACATGTGGAGTCACAATGGTGAAGCCAGAGCTGGGGCACATGACTTCATTTTACTGTGAAACTAATAACTAGCCTTATCTGTTGTATTCACTTTATGTGTAATTAATGCGTGCAAAAGAAAACCAAGGGCCAAGGTCCAGTGGCTCACGCCTGTAATCCTAGCTACTCAGAAGGCACAGATCAGGAGGATCATAGTCCAAAGTCAGCCTGGGCAAATAGTTCAGGACACCCTACCTCAAAAAAGTGCTGGTGGAGTAGCTCATGTGATAGTGCCTAGTAAACATGAGGCCCTGAGTTCAAATCCCAGTACCACCCAAAAAAAAAAAAACCAAAAAAACCTAAGCACAGAAAAGTCTAGTAACTTGCCCAAGATCATACTACTAATAAAGACAGGGCTGAAATTTGAACCCTAGCAGTCTGGCTCCAGTGTCCACTTAAAAAAAAAACAAAAAAAACAGACTGGGATTATAGCTAGTGACTGAGTGTTTGCAATGCATGAGACCCTGGGTTTGGTCTCCAGTACTACAAAACACACACACAGCTATTGACATACAATGGATGCACATATTTAAAGTATACCATGACATATGTACATACCTGAGAAACCACCACCATAATCAATACCCATGACTCCCAAAGTTACCTCATGGCTCTTACCTTCCCACCCTCCTCACTTCCCCATCCCAAGCAATACTGATCAACTGTCTGTCACTACAGGATCATTTGCATTTCCTAGAGTTTTATATAAATAGAATGATACACCATGCTCTCTTTTGTGTCTGTAGCGCCCATATTTTTTATTTAAATTTATTTTTAACTAATACATAAAACATAAAAATTTGTACATATTTATGCGTATCATGAGCTATTTCAAAACATGTTTACAGTGTGTAATATTTAAATCAGGTTAAATATATCTATGTCCTCAAACATTTATCATTTCTAAATACAAAAATATTCAAAACCCATTTTTTTTAATTCGTTTATTCATATGTGCATACATTGTTTGGGCCATTTCTACCCCCTACTCCCAGCCCCCACCACCCCCCTCGATTCCAGACAGAACCTGTTCTGCCCTTATCTCTAATTTTGTTGAAGAGAGAGTATAAGCAATAATAAGAAAGACAAAACGTTTTTGCTAGTTGAGATAAGGATAGCCATACAGAGATTCCTAGCATTGCTTCCATGTACAAATGTGTTACATCCCAAGTTGATTCCTCTCTACCTGACCTTTTCACTAGTTCCTGATCCCCTTCTCATATTGACCTCTGTCACTTTATGAAGTTTCTGTATTAGTTCCTCTACAGTGAGGACATCAAATACCATGATGTTTGGGTTTCTTACCTATCCACATACCTCCCATGTGTGCTCTCCCCTTAGCATATGACCCAACTCCAACCACATTGCTGTATTTGTCCTAGACTGAAAGTCTGAATATGAGGGAGAGCATACAATTTTTTGGTCTTCTGAGCCTAGCTAACCTCACTCAGAATGATGCAAAACCCATTCTTCTATAGAGCCTGTATTTTTTTGACCTCTGTATTACACATGTTCTCTCCAAAAACCCCACAATTCCAGCCTAAACATTTTTTTAAGGAAACCATGACAGTATAGATGTTTCTAAGTTGTGGATTCCAGGACATAAGGACTTGCTCCTTTCATTAAGTGCCTCTCAATCCATAACTGTGTACCTCTCCATGCTCTCTATCCCACAGACTCCCACCTGAGCATCTTTCCTGGTGCCCCCCACACATACCATTCTAGTCTCCTCTACACTGACTCTAGAGTCTTGGGGGCATCCTAGTCAGTCATGGGAATTTCTCCCTGATTCCCCACCCTGTCTAGGATGACACCTCTTGGTACCTTTACACATGCAGCTCTCTGAGCAGGGCCTCCCATCCCCAGCCCCTCAAGGGGAGGAACCTCATTCATCTTTCCAGACTTTTGACTTTTCCTCCCAAGAACAGAGGAAATCACTCTATCCTCTGTGGGGGTGCAGTGCTCTGTTCACAGTGCTATGACGGCACTTCCCACTACCAGGGATTCCCACTGCACCCATGCTAGTGGCTCCCCCAGGCTGGGATCCTGGCCCAAAGCAGGCTTCACACCTTTTGGATGAACTGAACTGCATCAATCTACTGTCTTCTCCATGCAGATTCCCCCACTATAAGAAAGAGGCTCCCTGTGTTCCAGATGAAGGAACTAAACTAAAAGACAGAGATTTAAGTGACCAGCATTAGTTTTAAAGTAACATAAAAAAGAAAAAGACATCCCCCTTACCCCATCCCCACCCCAAGAGACAGCCAGACACTAAATCCCACCCTTACACTAGGGAAGACAACTCTTAAGAAGCTGGATTCAGGGGCGCCTTCCTTCCATTTCCAGCAACAATAATATCTGTCTCCACATCTAAGTTAGCCGATTCCTCCTGGTTCTCTGAGCTCTTATTGTGACACTACAGTAGATGAGTGGTTGTTCCCCTTTATCCATCCTCCCTTCTGGTAACAACCTCTCTGTGCAACTCAGATGCACCCCTCCCCATGTCTTAGCCTGCCTGACGAACCTGAGCTCTGTATCCATGTGAGTTCAGGGATTGGCTCACAAATTTGCACGTGCTGGAAGCTGATCCAAACCACCTCTGTAAGAGGGACTGGAAAAGGCTCCAGCTCTTCCCCACTGGACTTGGCCCTCTCAGAGAAGCCATTTTACCTCTTCTTAAACCCTATGATGGTAGCCTCACACATGAAAGCATAGCTGAGACTCTGAGAGGAACCAAGTCCAAAGAACTCATTTGATCCCTAAAGCCCTAAACCTGAAGGCAGTCCCAGCCCTACACCACTCAATGATCTGAGCCATTTCATCCTAAAGCACTTTACCAAATCACTGTGGATTTGTTGTTTTGTCACCAAGGATCCTAACTGATGGACAGGTCCTGATCTCCCAAATTCAGCTTCCATGATATGTTTCAATGATTCAGCTATAAAAACAGTCTAAACAGGACAGGGCCCCTCTAGTTCCTCCTTGAATCACCATCTCACCAGTCTGATTAGCCATGCATTTGTCCAACCAACAGAGGGGAACCCCATATACAACACAGGTCAAGACCTTTAAGGGCAACCACTGAGGACATACCACCAAAATCCCAATATGATGGGCAGACTCCCCTGGCAGGCTTCCCTAAACTATATAAAGTGCTAATCAAATATTGTAAAAAGCTAGTCATGGAACAGATGGTTACCATCTGCAGTCCTCAAAATTAACATTTGGAAAGAGAACAACTTTGTTTCGTTACTTAAAAACCCAAGCAATACTTAGTAACCAACCCAGCAAGTATGGGCGGTGGATTATTTTCAGCTCAATTATAATACTTAGTCATTCTCAGTAATAACTGGTAGAGAATACTTGTGTGGGTCCACTTAGAAGAGCTAAACTAAAGATGTTTTAATTTAATTTAAAGTGTGGGTTTGCTATTATTTAAGAGCCAATGAACCTCACAGTATCATTGTTAAAACTGTAGTCAAGGTCTGTAGACCTGGAAATACTTGCTTTTCTTATCTTGCCTTTTGCACTTCACCTGAGCCTCCTACCCCAATTCCCTGCCTCTGTGATGGCACCTCCATCTCCCCGGCAACCAAACTAAAATCATCACAGAATCAACCCAACTCCTCCTTCTCCCTCAATCCTCAAGCCACTGGTTTCTAAATCCTATCAAATTCTAACTTGGCGTGCCCTCAAATTTGCCCCACCTTTTAGTTCAGACTCTTTCCATATCTAAACTGCTGTTCTCCCTGACTTCTAATCCATTTCCTTCTGACCTACTCTCCACTGAACAACCAGTCACTCTTTCTGAAACATAAACCTCAGGGTATCCTGTCCCTTCCTAAAACCCCTAATATACACTTCTACTCCTCATCATTCACTGTCACTTTTCTCAAAATGTGGGACAAATACCTGAAATTATGTTAAGCAGTATATAAAACAATATCTTTTTATTGTAATGATTCTGTATATATTTACATAAGTAATGAGAACAAATCTCACAAGTTCATAGGTATTATGACTTAAGACAGTTTTTAAAAAGAACTAGCATAAGGTCAGGCATGGTGGCCTGTGTCTGTAATCCCAGCTATGTGGGAGATGTAGGTAGGAGAATCAGGATCTGAGTGAGGATGGACCCAGGCAAGAACAAGAACAAAAAGGGCTGGAGGTGTGGCTCAAATGGTAGTGTCTGCCTAGCATGCAGAGAGGCCCTGATTTGTAAGAAAGGGAGGAAGGAAGGGAGGAAAGAAGGAGGGAAGGAGAGTGGAAGGGAGGGAGGAAGGGGCAAAATGTTGACTTTTTAAGTGTGAGGGGTGGACACTGCTTATTTTGAAACTTCTATAATAAAAAGTTACTTTAGAAACATCCGTGTCGGGGAGCCATCTAGCCTTCCTCCTTCAATGCTCATGGGCACTGTTTTCCTTCCACTCAAGCTGCTGGGAA